ACCAACAAAATTAATTTTTTCCAAATAGCATGTCAAAACATGTCCACTTGTCCAAATTTACTAATAAAACAATAATTTAATCATAGGATTATTAACAAAGTTTAACAATTTTATTAGATGGGCATGTAATTGAATTTTCTTTTTTGGTAAAATTTAAAACTTTACCAAGGGCTCGAACCGATGACCTCTTGATTTGCAGTCAAATGCTCTACCACTGAGCTATGGACCCTCGGCTTTAATTAATGGTAATGTAACTAAAAATAAATAAGAACAGTATCCATACTTTCGTCGTTTCGAATCTCGTGGCTCCATTTAGGGATGAATGTTCCACGTCATTATACACGTAAGTAAAGCCTATTGGATGAAATGTGGGGTCCATGGATCAAATTGCATGCGCGGCTAATACGATAGGTCGGTGATGATTACCACTAATTAGAAGCTGCCCTTCACGCTGCAACCATGTGATCTCTAATCATAGCATCTTGATCTAAATTTCTCAGATGTTCTAAAGTCAAAACCAATAAAAAAAAAAAATTCTGTTTTTTATTTTTATTTTTATTTTTTAATTGGAACAAACCCATTAAATTAGTAGCAAATTGGAGAAATTCATAGTGGTGGAAAAACCATCATCACGTTCTGATCACCACAAAAATACCAATTTTCAAGCAACTAAGTTAATTACCAAAAATAAGAATAATAACCGAAACCATCTCTTCTAATTTTAATTACAACAATTAAAGAAATACGTAGCAAAAATAAAACAATAATGGGTTTAAACAGTATTTTAATCGGTGTACTCTCGATTTTTGTAAGTTCGATCTATATACTTTCATACAAAAATTAATTTTGGGTATAATTTTTCATGAAATCATGAAGAAAGCCACGATGTGCTTAAGATATTCTTTTAATTTTATAAAACAAGAATAAATTTAGAGAGTGATTTGAACCCATGACTTCTTAATTAGAAACAAATATCAATTACAAGTTTTTTTTTTTAACACCAAAATTAGTAATTAGGTTAGTGTGGGCTTGACAGATGCAGCAAATGTTTTCTTTCTTTTTTTTTCTCTCTCTCTGTGTTTTGTTTTAAAGGATGAATCCGATTTAAATTTGAAAAACTAGTGATGCGTATTTTGTTGACTTTTGAAAATCAATTATTTGGTTAATATTTATTAAATAGTGTTACGTATTATTAATGTTTGTGAATTAGACAGCAGCCATATGAGCACATGGTGGTTGAGAAGGATTATTTTGCTTCATAAAGTTGAATAATAGGAAAAGAGTGTAGCGCCAATTATGGCTTCATTTCTCATTCCCCAAATCAATTCAACTCTCTTTCTTTTGAAGCAATAGGTTTTAGGCCACAATCATCCTTACCTTACGTTTCATCTTTCTTCTAAGTTATTAAACAATGATTTTGTTTTATATTTTAGATTTAAATACTATTTTGGTTAACGTTCACTTTAGCCAATTTCGACCCTGTACTTTTAAATTTAGATCAATTTGATATATTTTTTGTAAAATTTATGTACAAATTTTATACACAAACATGAATATTTTAATACGAATTTATGATTATATTTGAAAAAATTTAGTGAGTAAAGTGTCAAGCTAAAATTACTATTTAAAAAATGAGATAAAAATGAAAATAAAAGATCAACTAAATTAGACATTTAGGGAGTTCATAGATACTAAAGATGAAAATTCAAAGATTAAAATGAACTAAAGTCAAAATTACATGAACTAAAATAATATTAAAACTTATAATTTATATAACCTATGCTTACGAATCATTTGTACAATAAAGTACTTGATATTTATGGTTCAAAGTTCAAACACACAAAGTCATTAAATATTATATTGTTACTTTTACAATTTCTTGCATTGTCTTCCCTTAATTTAAGGATCTCTTCATGTAGAGCCTAGAGGAGTATTATTTTAACGTCAATATAGTATTGAATCATATTAGATAGGTATTTTTAAGTTGGGTTTGCCTTATCATTCATATATATATATAGAGATATATTTGTATGTGTGTGAAGGAGATCCATAACTAAAGTAAGGTGTAATGGTCAAAAGTTGTAAAGTGGCAAGCTTAATTATTATTATTATTATTTTTGTTGCTTTTCAGTTCAACAACACCTAGATGTAAATTTAAGTATTTGACATTTCATAAAATAACATGTAAATGAACATATATGTCTTAACTTGTTTTCAAGTTGGTGCAAGCTTAACCTACCTGCTTGCGAACGAAGAAACGATTTTGATATTGCTATTAAAATCAATGAGAAAATTGGTTTAAATTAATCGGTTCAATTCAAGTTTTTTTTTTCTTTTCATATGTTAAGAAATGTGTTGGCTTTTCGTTTGGTCCCTTCTTTAGTTTCTAAGGTAGTAAAGACCACACAAAAAATTACTATATACACATGAAATTGAAAGTCGACAACTGCCATCTAGTTATAAATTCATAGAAAGTGAAGGTGGTCGTCAAATCCTCACTTCAATAAAAAACCAACCAAACTAACCTAACAAACACTCACAATATATCAAACAACAGACCCTTTTACATATAATAAGTAAATACAACGCTACTTGAAGAATATACTGATTACTTTACATTTATTCTAATGCGGCCATCTCTCACAGTAATATATTATATTGATTGATATCGGACTACCTCACCAAACTAGACTCAACCAGACCAAATTTGACTCGACTAGAATGACCCCACCCGAATAAAGCATACTAGGGAGACTAACAGTATAAATAAGAGGAGACATCCGGGACTCGAGGTACATTTTACAATTTGACTTTTTTTGCTATTCTCAAATATGAATCTTTTGTCAAGTTAGGCATCAGAATGTTTGGACTTAACATCACACAAGTGTGCAGATTTCTTGTGTGTGCAAGTGTTCGTCCGAACATTGAAGTCGAAGCTCGAATCCAAATTCTGCATCAACAGAAATATATATAGAGAATTATATTTACCCAAGTCCAAAACAAATTAGGGGGCCTTTTGTGGAGAGGTGGACTAGAAGACCACATGATGCATTTTTGGTGAGGAAGAGTATGATGATGCCAAGCGGTCTCCCTGTAGAGTGGCTGATATTGTGGTTGGGTGACAGGGAGAGTAAAGAGGGACCAAGAGACATTGATAGAACCTTTTTTTTTTTAAATGCAAATTTTGGGTAATGAGGAGGCAGCTTTATCAGCTGAGTGGGTATTAAAGGAAACAAAGGGGAAAAAAAGATGAGAAGAGCCAATCTCCATAACGGGACACATCATGTTTTGTTTCCCATGCTTCTACCTTCCTCTCTTTTATGTTTGGTGTCATTGAAACAATACTAACTAGAGGTACGATGTCTCAATTAGAGAGTCCTACAAATCATTTTGATGTTTGGTTTAGAGTGTGTTTGAGAGTGATGGTAGAATGAGTGATTTTAAAAAAAAAATAGATTTAAGTGTAATTAATTTTTCAAAAGCACGTTCTAAGTGATATCTTAAAAATCAATTTAAATGGTTTTAAACTTTCTTAAAATCAATTTTTTAATTTGCCAAACATGATCAATAGAAAGAAAAATAATTTTGACAATGACAAAAGTGATTTTGGTCAAATTCACATACACACGCTTACTTCTTAATACTTTCTCGTAAAGCACTTTAAATGATTTAGATTATTTTCAAATAACACTTTAAAATTATTTCTATACATGATAATTTTTAGTGGGAACTATTTTTTACTACGACAATGTATAAAAGCACTCACAAATGTTATATTAGTTATTAAACTTTGAATTATACTTATATTTGGTCTTTATGGTTAGCACGATTCATAGAATGTTGACATTAAACATATAGTAATTTGTCTAAGAATACAATGATATCACTCCAACTCAACTAAAATTCATCTAATAAAAATGACAAGATAAAAAACTAAACATATACTAACAGTACATGAACTGGAATTAGAATTTAACAAGTCAATAAATTTTCAAGAAGTAAAAAAAAAATAAATAAATAAATAAAAAAGAGAGAGAACGGAAAGAACTTCATTTTAATCGTACATTTATTTATCACTCATGACTGTAAATTTGTAATAACTTTTCTTTTATAACGTGAAAGAATTCTTTTACTTTGTTGATCAGTTCTCATTACAGCTTGTCATACTTCTAAAGAGAACAATTATTTTGTAAACATGATATTGCATGAAAATTAGAAATCAATCTTATAATGGCAGGAAAGTTGTTTGATTAGAGTGATTCAAATGTCCTAAGTTTACACTCAAGTTGGGAATTGTGGTTCTGTTTCATCAAGACGCTTAGAAACTTTTTTGGAGCCAGAGTTTTGCTCTCTTTTAATCCAGGATACCTGCACCCACTCTAAGACCGAAATTCGAGAGACATAAAAAATTTTGGTATCAATCTTCTACTTTCCCTTCTACAATTTCACCAGAGAAAATCATAGGCATAAAGAGGATTAAAGTAAAGAAAACTAACTAGAGATGGAATACAAGAGGATGGGTATACGTATAACTACCTATTGTAGACATAAAAAGATAATTATCACCAATAACTTTGCACATACAACATAGACCCGATAACTATTCTATGTTTCTACCAAAAAAACTCAACTGACAAAAATGAGTTCGTTACAACGATATATCAAAAAATTGAGTCCCATCCATGAAGTATTTACGATTTTACGAAAAATAGCAAACACCTATTTTTGTACTGACTACCAGTATAAGATTCACAACATTTTAATTTTTTGAAAAGTTTAAAAATATATCTTTGTCTGCATTTCTGAAAAATTTAACGATGGTCAGAAAAAGATGTGCAGACTATTAACTAAGTATTTTTAAAATAAAACCTAACTTTCTTCTCAAGGCAATTAAATCAGAAAATTCAGAAGAAGGCCTTACCTCGCTGTCTTGGTAGTTAGCAGCCTCTCTTTCCTCTCTTTTCCTAAAACGCAGAGAAATGCTACACTAGGAGATAAAGAAGGAAAGAGAAAGAAGCTTCCTATAGTTTTTATTACTTATAATGTTAAGTTCCAATCAAGTAATATAACAGCAGCAGTCTTTCGCAGCTTATTGGCTTAAAAACCATTCAGTAGAACTAATAAATAATGTTATATACCGCGGCTAGAGTCATTTTACCACCTCCAAAGATTTCCAAGGGATAAACTGCTGGCTGGCTTCTCTTAGGATAGTGCAGCATAGAAGAATAATCATTGAGAAATCTGACATGCCTATCAAAATATCAAATGTACACAAAATTGTTAAGTTCCAACTAAACTTAAACCTCAAGAACCTAGCTATCTGACTGATGCCAATAGAAGGTGTCAATTTTAAAGAGGATTACATCCATAGTCCATCACCATATATCAGATGCTAGAATTTTCATGCTCTGCTAAATCAATTTGTTCAACATCAAATGTTAAAAAAATTTGAGGCACCAATTAGAAGCAATTGTAAACGAGCAGGGCATCAAGTGTAACCAAGTTCATTGTTCGAACTTCACCAAGTGATTTCATGGATGCAACATCGTTGTTCGCCAATCAGAAGTGTGCCAAGCTGTATACGAGAGTCCAAGCAAGCTGAAAAAAAAAAGGAAGAGAAAAGGAAGTCAGCTGTCTGGATTAGTAGCTATCTTGCAGGATTGAACTTGGTAGCAAAACAAGCCCTTCCTAAAAAAAAAAAAAAAAGAGTTCGTGTAAAGTGAAAACTGAAAAGTTGTCAAAATACCAGAAATAGAGTTATAGAAGCAAAAAGCCCTTCTTGGAGGAGAGCTCCATGACCTCCAAATTCTTCTTCATCAACTTTTAAAATCATTGCATAGTATCCATACACAATGCTGGTTGATATCACCAGAAAACTGAAAGTGGAAACCAGCACGGTAAGATAGCTCGCATTTACATATAAAATTAATTAAGAAAGGATTATTAGATGAGCACATAATCAAAAGCCAGCACCACATTTACCAAAGAATACTGCTATGATCCAAAATTAGTTATAGAGACAGAAGATGTAGAAGAATAGGAGGAAACTGCACATCGAAATCAATAAAGAAAAGTTGCTTTCATTTACATACGACATTAAGAAATGACAATTGATTAGTAGCATAATCAAGAACCAGCACCACTATATCTTGAAAGAATACTCCCATGGTCAATAATTAAATCACTTGCAATTGTATACAAAGTTGAGAAAGGACAGTAAAATGTGCATAATAATAATAAGCTACTACGTGGTACCACCATTTCTCAACAATATACTCCTACAATCTCAAATTTTATTATTAAACATTATCAAAATAATGTTCAGTGGATCCTAAAGGGGAGAAACATTTGTTGTACAGCTTTAACAATAAGCTATACAAGAACAACGCAAATACACTTTCAAAGTAATTTAATATTGAGAAGGTCGGAAATCGCAACTTACATTATAAACCATATGCCTCCAACCAAAGGTATGGAGCCCCACAGCAGTCCGAGTACAACGGCCACTGCTTGTCGAATCCAGTGCAAGACATCTCCTAATTGGTCCTATTGACAACAAATTTGATAAACAAAAACTAAGAACGATATTCAAGAGTACAAAATGCAATGAGACAACGTATCTCAAAAACATAATACGGCATCAAAACTTAAGTCTTCAAATAGAAGGTGACACTAATAGTGTAGAAGCGCCAATTTGGAAGTGTAAAGTCGCGTTAACAGTTTCCCTTTGCTTTCCAAATCAAGAATTAATGAACATAGCGTTTCATTAATAAATATATATATATATATATATATAAACTCTACTTCAATTGCGATATTCAAATACCACAATAACATGCTTAAATCCTAATTCTTTCGCAATCTAACGGAGAATATAAGCAGCAAGAGTAAATAAATACGCTAATAGAGAAAACACTCAAAATCTTCTAGGCAATCAGAATTCAGAAACGATTGTAACTTCGATCCAAGACCGAAAATTCAAGTACCTTGTCCCAGGAAGCCTCTGAATCGAACAATTTGGCGAGCTTGAACGGGGCCAAGTGACCGTTTTGGTGCTCTTGATGCTGATGAAGATTGAACTTAACCGGTTTCGCTTCCTTCATACCGGATAAACAAATCAAACCAGAAAATCGAAGAATCTAGAGGTAAGCTTAGATCTATATCTAGACTCCCGCAAAAGAGCAGACCAAATGCTCCAGTAGGGAAAAAAACTACACGAAGATCAGCAGCTCCTAGGGTTTCCAGGGGAGAGACGCGGCTGGATCGAGGAAGAAGCAACTTCAATTTCGAAGATTCATTCGCAGTCAAATACTGCCGCAAAACAATAATGTCTCCTGAAGTTTTCTTTTCGGCTACGAGTATATCAGAAATTAAGGTTGCTACTTCCTTTTCAGCCTTGGGAGCCCGTGTGGAAGATACCTAATCCGGTAGTTATGCCAATGCCACGTAGCCACTTCAAATTGGGCTGGCCCATTATACAGGATGTATCTAGACCAAATCTCAATGCAGGCTGGCCCATTTCTAAAAGTGCCAGTTTAATGGGCCAGCGCAGCCCAAATTTTGTCTATTTACAAATTTAGCCCTTTATCGATACCCATTCGTTTAAATTGATATATTTTGTTCATATTTTTTACTACCAAAATCAATTCATTCATAAAATTAAAAAATAATAATAAGAATATCTTGTTCTTATATTAAGCCAAGAGTATTTGGACTGATTGTACTTAAAAAAAAAAAAAGTATTTGGACTAATCGTGTAAAATTTGGATATTTGGACTAATCGTGTAAAATTTGGACGTTTGTATATATATATATGTATATGTTTGAATAGATAAAAAAAATTTAATAGTGTTTCTTTTAAAACATTTTCCAAAAATATATCATCCACCCAACTATTTTCAATAATAATGTTTGGAAATAGTTTGTCGTCCAAGAGACAATCGGGTGATATGGCAGTGCATGTATTTTTATTTATTTATTTTTACTAAATCTCAATATGTCGTCTCTTAAGAGACCATCTCTACATGTTGGCCACGTATTGCAGATCTCTTCGAGGACGTCTAACTAATTTTTTTTTTCTTCAAAATCTCATTAGCTCATGTATAGCACCCAAGATTTTATTATTTGAATTTAACTAAAACAAATCGAACAATATCTTAGAACAATCAGTTGGTTAAGAAATCTATTTTTTAAACAAACTTTACATTAAATTAAACTAAAACAAATTAGCAAAATCTGAAAATAACTAAATTTTAAAAATCATTTTAACTAATGAAGCATTCAAAATATAAATTAAATCCATCATAAAATAAATTAAATCAAATGATATCTTCCCATAAATAGTAATGAAAAAATAGAAAACGATGATGAAAAATTGTTATGTGAAGGCTTAGAACTCAAGTATGAGTGTCATAAGCAGAATGTAAATTTTCACCAAAGTGGCAAAAGGAAAACGTAGCGTGAGTGATTTACCCGTTGGAAATCGATGACTCAAACACTTCATTAGATTGATGATAATGGAACAAGCGTACATTTGACTAGAATCCAAGATATCATGTGATTTATTTTTTAAAAAATTATATTTAAATTTTAAAATGCTCAATGATAATTAGATAAATTAATTTTTTTGTTGGTTGGTTTTTAAGATTTTGTTAGTTAAATTAATTTAAGGTACTTTTTTTAATCGATATTTTCCTAATCGATTTCTTTTATAGCCTATCAATTTACTAATCCCTCAACAAGACCTAACAAGAACAGAATCACGCTYTGTAGGATTTGAACCTACGACATCGGGTTTTGGAGACCCACGTTCTACCGAACTRAACTAAGAGCGCTTTCTTATTAAAGTAGATACGACTATAAAGAAAAKGATTCTTTTTGTACCCATGTGAAAGAACTTGAACAATGAAAGATTTTGTATGTCCAATTTGAATTGATCTCAATGGATCCCTCGTTCTGAGGAGAAGCAATAGGTAGGAATGACAGGATTGGAACCCGTGACATTTTGTACCCAAAACAAAAGGAGCTACCAAGCTGCGCTACATCCCTTTCAATTGGTCTACGGTGGTCATTGTAAAGAATCGATCCCTGCCCTGTTTTCAAAATAGTTATTTCCTCCTTCTTCTTTTTTTCTTTTTGGTTTTTTTTTTTTTATACTCATTTGTTAGATTTTTTAGTTAAATTTAATTTAATGTTTGTTTTAAAAATAGATGTCTTAATAATTGGTTTGTTAAGATTTTGTAGTTAAATTCAATTTAAAGTTTAATTGAAAAAAATATTGGGATGCTACACATGAGCTAAGTAAATTTTGAAAAAAAAAACAGTTGTCTCTTCAATGGACGATATATTGAGATTTAGTAGGAAAAAAAAGTCAAGTGTGCATGTAGTTTCTTAAAAAAACTACATGTATTGCCATATCACCAACCAACTAATTCCAAGCATTATTATTAGAAATAATTGAGTGGATAATATATGTTTGGAGAGACTTTTAGAAGAAACATTATTTAAAAAAAATATGTTTAAAACCCCAGATGAAAACCATTTATATGAGTCGAAGGGCATTTATGGTATTTCCTAATATCTTTGGAGGGCATTTCTTCCCGGGTTTTTTAAAACAAAAAATTTATGATAAAATATTTCCGGTTGTTTTGTAATTCTACTGGCAATTTCCCAGTATCTTGTTAGGCGCGCTGAACCGAATACTCTGCTCGTCGCTCTGCAAGAGAGGTTCAGAAATGGCGTCTTCTTCCTCTAATGCTGAAGCATCTTGACCTGCTCCTTTTTCTTCTCTGGTTCGTAAACGGTAACTCACGCATTTATTTTTGCCATCGAATTTTTGCACACTAGTTTCTGTTCGTTTCGATGAAAGTTTATTACGTTCTCTAGTTGAAGGAGAGTCCACTCCGAACCCTAAGCAATATACAAATTTGGAATCTCTAGAGAAATGGCGCTCCACGCGGAATAACATTGTTGATCTAAAATACGAATTGCAGAGGATATCGAAAAGGATTATTGAGCCCACGGATGAGTATGATCAACGCATTAAGGCTATTTTCAAGACAAGCTTGCAGAAGTTACTTTCTTCATCGATTGAGGTATTTTTGCTTTTGTTTTGTCAGTGGTTGAAGACTTAATTGAGGCATCATTTTCAGTAGATTGTGTGATTATTAGTTGAGGGAGAAAGCATATAAGTATCTCGTCATCAAACAGTCATCGTTTATGGCACTGGCCTTCCATGTCATGCACTCCAATCGGAATTAACTTCATGTTGTTGTGGAGTACGTTATGAACTTCATTGTGCATTAAGATATTGGTATCATTATTTGCAAAGGTCGTTCATGCGCCCCTCTTCCCTTCTACTTTCTGATTGAAGGGTAGTAAATGAGGAAGATTATGAAGAGGAAGATGGACCAGAGAGATTAGTTATTCTTTTTGTTTTGGCGTTTACTTGAGATGCAACATCTTGATCTGACTTATTGTTTTCATTCTCGAATGCACTGATAATCACTTCAACTTATTGGTTTCATATACTGTTAGTATATACTTTTGTGATCTTGTACAATTTACAGTTTCTAATTGGGGCGCTCAACACGAGTTATCTTGTAATTACTCAGACTTATGAAATCGGGTTAGATTGGAGGTTCTTCTTGTATCCGTCCTTTTTGGGGTAGGTAGACCTTGTCACGGCCTTTATTTTATTTTATTATTATTATTATTATTATTATTTTTTTTTTTTGTGAATGTATCGTCTCAGTGTTTCTTATCCAATGTATCGTCTTAGTTATAGCTTACTTTCTTGTAATTAAAGAATTGCGCCCCTCTGTCCCTCCCTCCCATTTCCAACTTTCTGCACATAAACACATTCAAGCCAGCCCCAAGGGTCTAATGGACAAAACATACTGGTTTAGAGATTTCAAGTTCGAGAACCTTCTGATAAACTGATACCAAAAACCTTTGATATCTCCTAGCTAGGTCCGGGCTTTAGGGCGGACACGAATGCCTCTTAATATAGGGGAGCCAAGCTCTGAATCCCAGTTATCAAAACAAATAAATAAATAAAATAAACTCATTATAGCCAAAAAAAAAATAATAATAATAATAAATAAAAGGACCCTGAATACTGTTGGACAATGATGCACAAATATATAGGTTTAGATTTAGAGGTCACATCAATGGCCACGCTTCCTGTTCTTATTTTTTAACCACTTCAGAAAATGGTAGAGGTTTGTGAAATTTTTGGTACTAATACTTTATTCATGTTAATGCCTCATTTTGTGCTTTAGGATGTGACTCTTTCAATGGTGGTGATCATTATTATTATCATGCCTTTCACTGAACTTTGAAATCTTTTTAAACCTTTCCTTGGGGATACTTATGAAATGGTAAATGGTCAAAAACCGTGACTGCATGCTAATTCTCATGGATATTGTTTATGTATAGCTCATTAAGATTCTTTCAATGGTGGTGATCAATAATGGAATAGTCCCACTTGCTGGATCTGGCAGATCTACATGTTGTTGATGTATGCATGTGAGGGCGATCATACTTAGTGATGTCCATGTAAGTTTTGTAATAATTGATCCTTCCCCCCACGGGGTCGTTGTATGTTACTTCTGGTTCATAATTTGAAATTTCCTGATCAAGTACAGAATCATCGCCTATTTCTATGTATTATTATTATCATGCCTGAACTTTGAAATCTTTTTAAACCTTTCCTTGGGGATACTTATGAAATGGTTAATAGTCAAAAACCGTGACTGCATGCTAATTCTCGTGGATATTGTTTATGTATAGCTCATTAAGATTCCTCCAAGAATCATCTACCTGAGCAGACCATTTTAACCCTCATTTTCTTTATTCGAGAAAAGGTTTCACTATTATTTGCTTTCCCATTTTTATGTCATATGTTATTCCATCATTTAGTTTGGCGATGAATGCCCTTAGCTAAACCTTTTTTGTCCATATTTTTTCAGTCAGGTGAGTGAGTCATCATCCCGCAATGAGTGTCTGTCTGATCATGCTGAGAATAATCATTTTATTTATGATGTGATTTGAAAGTTGACTAAATTTTTAGGAAATTCACTTGGTGTTTACACGGTAGGAAGGTAAAACTTCTACTATTCTGTCTATACTCTGTAATATCTGCTGCCGTTCGCATTTGTCCGTTGTCACTCGTTATTTCATTATCACCCAGTTCTTTTGAATGAAAATTACTGTTTGTTATGAATTTGAATATATATCGACTTTTTTTTGGTCCTATAATTAATGGTCTACCAATTTAAGTTTTGGGTTGAAGATCTTCCTTCTGCAAATAGCAACTTAAAAAAGGCTCTTCAGTTCCATAATATTACAATATAAATTAGCATGCTCAAGGTCGACCAAATATTCATTTTACTTTTCTATTTTGAGTTTGTGTTATAGTATTTGTATCAGGGTGTGTATGCGTCATTATGGAATATATCTAAATTGTTATTTAGTTGATAATTGGTACATTTAATTTAGGATCTGTTTAACAATGATATTGTTTATTTTTTAAAATTATGCTTGTCTATTTTTTTTTTCTAATAATTGGAAGTTGGAGCTTTGTTTCCATGTACCTAGAGACACCCATGTTCATATCAAGACCCGAATCTAAAAGATATCAAGAACTTTTATATTAATCTCAGAAGGTTCAAACTTGGAACCAAATTATACTTTATCTTTTAATAATTATCTTTATATTATAATATATTTATATAGGAAATAAATTATAAATCCTGTCGACTATATATATATATATTTTTATAAATAAACCTCTCGAAATTTTAAAACTAAAGAAAGTAGTTTATCTATTTCTGGTTTTTAAAATATGTTGAGGTTTTAAAAGTGCTTTTAAAAATTATAATAAATAAAAATTAAAAATAAAATTACCATACTCTCTCTGACTCTCACTGTTCCCTTCTGAATAATTTTCAACCAACACTTGTACAGCCAAAAACCAGTGGAGGAAAGGTGGCATTGTTTTCCTGATTTGTTTTACACATTGCACCGCCATTGAGATAGATGTAGCACATTAGAAGCCCCTTTCGGAACTTTTCAGTTGTAATATAACACCCTCCAAGGCTAGACCAAAGAAAAAACTTAATCTCTTGTCGGAAATTTTTATATTCGGTATAGCCTTAACCAAATTTCTACTCGAAACTTCCCGCAGTGTACGTGAGGTGAAGGATAGTGGTTTATTGAAAAAAGAACCACACCTTTAAGGATCGTGCACTATGTTTATTCCAACAATATCAGCTTAGAAACCTCACATAACCTTTGTGTTTTGCGCTGTCGAATTCAGTTCTATCATTTGCTGCCAAAATTAGTGATTCTAATTACTGCTGAATCTTAATATTTCCATTTCATTCATATAGAAAGCTAAAATAGATGATTTATTTTTTTCTTTTTATTAAAGAGCTCGGTGTTGTGTAGTGGATGGTTGTGTCTATAATGCTGCTGAGGAACCTCAATTACTCGTGATCCGTTAATGGAATGAGTTGTCAGCCATGTGATACCGAAGGGGAGAGCCTTTCCGGGAGCAGAGCTGAAAGAGGTAATTAATGTTTCATTTTTGTTTCTGCTCTTCGAATGTTGACTAAATTATTCTTTTCTTATATATATTTATATACATCTATGTGGCATGGGTTTGGTATTGCATCTTTCTATGTTTTGTCAGGTTCAATTATTGAACCTACGGAATTGGGAATGTCTATAAGGTTTCGGGACTCGGCAAGAGTTTGAAACCTTTGGGTTTATCCGAACCCTTGTGTATATGCTGTGCAGTTGTTGACTACTAAATACAGGGTTTTTCCTAAGCGCATCTCCGTTGACAAGGGTTTAGAGTCTCTTGGCTACACCGATCTAGAGATCCCAAGTTCGAATATTGATGAGTTTAATAAGAAAAATCCTTGATACTTCTTGGGAGCGGGGCAAAGATGCCCTTAGTTATATTGGAAAATGCTAAATAGCATGTCCGATCCCAGGTGATAACGAAATAATACTATGGGAATTTTTTCTCTTGGGTGGGGGGCGGGGGGACCGAATGACATAAACCATCCATTCAAATAGATCATCTCTTGTTAAGAAAGTCGACTTCATCCATCTTTTGATGTCTCATTCACATAGGTGATAATCAATATGAAGATTAGTCTTTAGAAAGACAGTGGCTTAAAAGGTTGGTCAAGTAGGTCATCCTGGCGACAAATAGGAAATCAATATTCATCAATAATTTCATTAATAGCCTACTATCCACACACACACATCCACCCCATGCCCTTTTCTTCCGAACAAGGATAGCTGGTACGTAGGAACTCATCCTTTCTCTTACCAAACATTTGGTCGAAGACCCATCTACTTGCCTTTGTAACCCTGAAGGTTTGGAAATAGTTTATCTATCCCTCATGATAGCATAGTACAATTCTTATTAGGATGGGAGCAAAAGCTTAGTTCTCTTGTTGCAACTCCCTTTTAAATCTAGAGAGAGAATTGACAGTTTTTGTTTATCCAAAACTATCTCACATCTATAATAAAACACGTTTTTGCTAGGAGTTTCCTAAGAGCAATTGGCAAAACATCCCTTTCTAGTTGAACACTTCTCTACTTTTGTGTTCAATTTGTCAATTTTATCGAGACCACGTTCTCAAAGTAATCCCTATCGATTTTTATGTTATAAAATTTGCCATGAGAAGTGCATTTTGGGTGAAAAACGTTCTTAGGCAACACCGAAACCTTTTTTAATTACAAGAGATCAATACTTGTGACTTCAAAGGTAAGGGACTTAGATGGAACGAATTCAACTCCAGATTGACCATCTGCCTGTGATATTAAAATTCTACAAGTTTCTCACAACCAAGTGTTGTAGTGTAAGACAATTGTCCAATGAGGTTAAAATCCTACGTGGAAGCTGACCTACTTGTTCATCTTCTTCAAAATTTTTGGAGCATAATGAGAATCTTCATCTTCTTCACCACCGCTCTCATACTTAATCAAAGTGATGATTTTGCGATTTGGGTATTCAAAGGTTAAAGCAGTGATGCGAGTTTTCCCTAAATGAATTTGCAGGTAGTTTAAAGCCAACCCCAAGTTCTCCGCTGGAAAAAAAGGGTTTTGGGAGAGAACAGGAAGAATGCTCTTCGGAAGTAGGAGCCTGCTCTAAATGGCTTAACCACTCTCAAGAGTGAGATTATTTAGAAGATCTCTCTGTCGTAAATAACCTATTGAGACGAAGATGAATCTTAGCCAATGGAGTAACCAAAGGATCTTCTATGGTTTCCCTACTTTGGAAGTTAGTTTGCAATCACCTTCTATCAATGCTTTTATCGTAGAATGCTACTAATTTCAAAATTTTGGGTGTAATCCAGATTCACAACTTCATGATCGGAAATATGTATTAGTACTGTTGAGATAAACTCATATTTGCATTAGAATAAAGTTGGAGATAGATGTTGAGATAAATTCATGTTGGCATTAGACGAGTTACTTGGTGAATATACGTTTTGAAAATAAATTTGAAAACCATACTTTCCAACGCCATATAAAATTTAGAAAAATGTAAAAAGCAATAAAAATACACAAAATATCCTATAAAGTGCGGAATATTGGACTAACTCTGATCATAATTCTCTCTAGAAATCTCTAAATTCAATTCCATTAATGCAGTGTATTCATGAATCGATTATTTTTCCAATGTTATATTAATCATATATTGAAACTCATGGTCAGGGATTACGAAACTTAAATACCTCGAAAGACTACCTTTTGCTTTAAACCTAAAAGGTTGAAAGCAAGCCGTACTATGCCCTAAGATTGGAACAAGCTACTAAAACAGATGGAGCAATTGAGAAAATATTCTCCAACTATATTATAGCACTATATATAAAGACTCCAACTAAGAATCCAACTATCAGTTCGACTAAAGTAACAACTCAACTAAAAGAATTAGTTACACCATTACTAATTCTTATGATAACTAATTAGTTCAACACTTATAATAGTTACTAGGTAAATATTTTTCCATAACAAAATTGAAAACAACAAAAATTTACATCACCATAAAATAAATTTAAAAGACTTTTAAGAATAAGAGTGACATAATTTTTCTGAAAAATTTCATAAGTTTATCTTAAAGCTTTTCAGTATATTTCTATTAAGTGGTGTAATAGGTTCACGATTCAATTATGTTTCTGATGTGTATTACTTGTTTAGTAAAATTCATGGATTACCAAACTAAAATACATTGAAAATACTATTTAAAGCTTCAATGGTATCTAAATTTCTTTGTTTGTTTGGTCTGAGAACATTCATCTATCATTTCTTTTTCTTTTCATTGAAATCAATGAAAAGTTTGTTTATAGTTAAAAAAAAATCACAGTTTTTCAGACATACAAATTGTTTATATATTGGGTTTTTGGGTTACCCTTTTTTTCCAAGGGAGGAATTGTTTTTACTCCCCTTTTTCAAAACTTAAAGTTTTCTAAACTTTGCCGACATAACTTTAGATATCAAATGACCTTGCTGTCTCCCCCTAATTTTTAGATTTCTCTGATTTTTCTTTAAAACAAACATTTTCTCTTTCTTATAATTCGAAAACTTTGTTCTTCTCTCCTCCCAACACAATCCAAAAAAGACATCTCTCTCTTCTTCTTTTTCTACCCATTTTTCATTTTATTTTCTCTCACTCACTTCCCCATTTTGTTCACAAAAAATAGTTTATGGGTTTTCTTCCAACTTCACGAAACTGTTGGCACTGCCGAGTCTTCCATTGTGAGCGAAATAAATCTGAACCAAAACTAACAAGATTCAAGACATAGATTAAGATCTAATGGAGAGCGAGAGAAAGTGAGATATGGGTAAGAACAAGACAGAGAACAAGATCTGAGAGATTTGAGCGAGAGTGGGAGCTAGATCTAACCAAGAACGCTGACTCTTGAACGAGATTTGAGAAACGTGAGCGAGCGTGAGATCTGAGCGAGAACGGTGAGCGAGAGCGAGATCGAGAATTGAGCGAGAGCGAGATAGGGTGAGATAAATGTAGGCATGAAATGAGGGGTATGAGAAAGAGAGAAGAAACACTATTTTTAGTGAGAGAGAAAGAGGGTGGGAGGAAGAAAGAGAAAAATTAATTTTTATCGTTGAAAAAATTGAGTAATATGAAAAGACAAAATAATAATAATTAAAATTAATTCCTCTCTCTTCCTTCCTCTCGCTCATTTTCTTCTTCCTCACGCTCACTCTCTTCTCCTCTCTCCTCTCTCCCTTCCTCTCGATCACTCTCTTCCCTCTCTCCCCTCTCTCCTCCTTCCTCTCGCTCATTTTCTTCTTCCTCACGCTCACTCTCTTCTCCTCTCTCCTCTCTCCCTTCCTCTCG